GCTCTTCCATGGGCGCCCGCGCTGGCGGCGGCGTCCGGGGCAGCGCGCCCGGCAGCGGCGTGCGGGGGCTGCGAGCGCCCGCTGTCGCCCGCCTCGGCCGGCCGGCAGCGCCGCAGCCCCAGCCTGGCGCGGCTCGTTTGTAGGGCCCCGCCCGGGCCGCGTCACGGACAGGCCCCGCCCGGGCCGCGGGCGGCAGCGGCGGGGTGCGGGCAGCGCCGGGTGGCGGCCCCTCCGCCTGCCGGGGTGGCCGCGGAGAGAGGGGCGGCTGCCGGCGCGGAGCTCGCCCGGATAGTGCCACGCGTCTGGGGAAACGAATGGATATCCTCAGCAAGCGCACCTGCCCCCGCCTCCATAAAATCGTAGAATATCTTGAGTTGGAACGGACGCGCGAGGATCAAGGAGTCCAAGTCCTTCGATTGCCTCCTTCCTGTACTTATAAAAATACCACCCATGCGAGGTTGCATGAATAACAGACTTATAGTACTTATATTTACTTCTTCTACTTCTTGTTTACTTTCTTGGGACTTCACAAGGTGGCTCTGATTTTTTTTTTTTTTTTTTTTTTTTCTCCTGAAATGCTTTCTGTTCAGCCAGATTAATTTAAAGCAGGATGGATGTCTAGAATGACTGAAATACTGCTCCTTGAGAGCAGTGGGGAAAAGACCTTCTGGGGATTTAAGTCCTAGGGTTAATTTATTGAAAAGACCTTCTGGGGATTTAAGTCCTAGGGTTAATTTATTGAAATAAATTCATTTACCATGAACTGAATTGTGGGTTTTTTTAAGACAAAGTGAATTAAAACTGGCATTAACATACTGCATCCATTATTTCAACAGCCAAACTCTTGAAATTTACTGTGAGCAAAATGCAGGCCCAAATAAATAAAATAAAAATAAATAAATAAAATCTCAGCTGATTTTGATTAATTCCTTGTAGTTTAACAGATCTGACAGGGTGTTTGTTCGCAAAGAAAGTCTATTTGCACTGGTTTTACACCGGTCTTAGGTTTTTTGCCTGAAGTGATGTAGTTCAGACAATTCTGTCTGGACTCTGGGAGCTATCTCATCAGGTTCCATAAAGTTGTGTATGCTCAGGTTCTTGAAGTGGTCACAAATGTGATCTGTACTTACAGTAGGAAGTATTTTGTTCCCCCAGTCCCCTGTCCATCCATGACAGAAGCGTGGGAAGAGCGGTTGCCATTGAAGACTGAGGCAAAAAAGTGGTCTGGTACCTCAATCTCCTCATCCATTGATCAGCGTTGTTTATCAGGTGGTTACACCTTCCTCCGCCCTCTCAGCAGGGGTATATCATCTTTAACCATGGGCTGTGACCTGCTCACACCTCATTGCACCTAATTTACTCCTTCAGTGCTGGGCTGTGGGATTGTTGGGTCACACTTACTCACTGCACCAAAAACCAACACAAGAGTTATGCACAAATATTCAAATTGTATATTTCCTTAAATCCTTTACCTTCAGCCCTGGCCTGTGCTGATAGTGTAACAGGAGGCAAAGCTACCAATTATGGAATTCTGTTTTCTAACCATGACTTCTGATGAGGGAACTGGAACAAAGATGGTGTTTATTCAAGTATCACCAGCAATTTCAAATGGATTAGAGGAAGTGGCTGTGTTTGTGGAGTTATTTTGTTTACAACCATTTACCTTCAGCCTTGAATAAGTATACTTTTGCATGGCTAAATTAATTAGTAAAATAAATATGTAATAGAACATCTTAGGAGTGAAGAGTACTCAAGTATTTTTGAAAAGGAGTATTGCCAAGTGGAATCTTGTCAAAGGTTTTCAAGAAACAAATATAAGTACTTAAGGAAAAATAGGACAGAATAACTATAAATGTATTTTATGGCTTGTATATTTAACATTTAAGATTTTTTCTGTATTTAAGTGTACTACATCATTGCAGTGTAAATTGCTTTAGCACCAATAAATATGTACAAATACTTTACTTTTAATTTTTTAAGAACATCTCACAAGAGTGTTTACTAAAAAAACCCAAAACAATAAGACTTTTTACTTTGTATTTTTACACTTTTCTGTATGTTTTATTATAAACCTGAGAGTCTAGTAGAGAAATACATTCATTTGTGATTAGCCTGGTTGTTTAATCCTGATGTTTATGTCATGACTGTGGGTTTTGATTGGAAACAGGTTAGAACCAAAAAGCTTAAATGTTGTTCAGGTGCTATAGACCAGCACAGTTCAGTCATAAGGGATCACTGTTTCTTCCGTGTGATCTATAGATCAGATATCATAATACTCATTTCATGTTTAATACCCAGTCTTGATATAAAAGAATCAAAAGATGAAAAATTCATTATTTCTTTATTGTTCTAGTCATGAACTATCTTTGGTGTCAAAATAATAACAGAAAGCATCTGTGTACCTTTTTATCTGAAGGTATCTAAGTGTAACTTCAAGCCACTGCTTTATATTATCGCCTTCCCAGGTAGATTAAAGATATGTTTTGCCCCAAAACATACTTTCTTATTCTAATTAGGTCATTTCTCAGTATTATTTTCACTTTTTAATAAGATAAACAAAGTGGTCTCTTACAGTGTCTCACAGGAAGGCTCAAGAAAGTTTAGATTTAATTACTTTTCTTCACTTTTCACAAGTTCTCATCAGTGAGTACAATAATGATGCTTAAGATTGACAATGGAAGCATTTTCACAATGCTTTGATAATGAATCCAATTGCCAATAAGGTTTCAAGATCTACTGGTTGTGCATTTCTTAAGCAATTTCAAGTACCTTTCATTGTCAAGTAATCCTTACTTTTTAAATTCAAATGTTCCAAGCTACTAAATCTGATGCCTTATGAGACTATTCTGCCTTCATACTTACCAAGCAAATTTGTAATTTCCTCAAAAGCAGATTTATTTGACATGATGGTGGTAGTGTCTCTCCAGCTGTGGGTAAAGTGGTAAGAGAGAATGACACCGAGTCAACAGTGCCATATTTTCATTTTGCTAATTGAGTAATGACTAATTTAAAAAAAGGAAATGAGACTTCTTAAAGCCAAAAGAATGAGGAAGGAAATGAAAAATATCAGTGCAACATGGACAATAGTCATTTATGCTTCCCTCATTAGTCCAAAAATGAAGATGTGGAAAATGGGGTTACCAAAGTTCCAGCATATCCTGAAAGGGTGTTCTGCCCAAAGAATAAATTAAATGGGAGCCTGCTTAGAGGAAAAAACTCTGCTGGAGGAAATGGAAAATGGTTCAGAGCCAAGATTGGGTAATCTGGGGATTGAGCTGGGGACAGGCCCCATGCTGGGAAGAGGACCTGTGTTGGAAACAGGACAGCAGAGGTGGGATGCCTGTGCAGCAGGGAAGGAGGAAGTGGTGACTGGGAGCAATGTGGCTCCCAGGACAGAGCCAGTGCCTCTCAGCCAGCCCTGAGGTGGCTTTACTGCTGGCTCAGCTCTGCAGCTGGCTGAAGCAGCTCCCAGAACAGCCTGGAGAGCATTGGGTTCATGCTGTCATGAGCATCAGAGGGATTTGAAAACTTTGTTTTAAACCCTCTTCTTCTCACCATAGGTGTTTTGGAGATGCAAAGGTGGAAAGTACCTGAAAGAGCACAGACATGAAAATTTCTTAACAGAAGAAATACTTAGAGCTTTCTGTGTACAGTCTATGTTGGAGCTGCCTGTTACACAACAGAATTTACATTTCTCAGGTTGAAGTAATGTAGATATGACTTAAGAATTCAGACTAACAGATTTCTGTTTTGTCACCAGGAAACACTCTAGGGAAATCAGGGAGGAATTAGTGATGTTATCCAGTCAGGTAATGGAATTCAGGTGTAGAATTTTAAAATACTATTAAATAGGTATATATTGTAATGTTATTTTAAATTCAGGAAATAAAAGGTGTGTTACTTCAGGTCTAAAATTTAAACAATATATGTCTGATTTAGGGCAGGAGTGTCAAGGCATGAGTAGGGCATCATGTTGACTAGAAAAGCAAAGTGAAAAGGGTGGGAAAGTATGGAAAGAGGTTTGTGGCTGGGAGTGTTAAGGTTATAAGCCAGCCTTTGCACAGACAAAGTACATCTGAAGAGAAGAGCTGTCCATGAGGTGGAAAAAAGCAGGTTGGTTGCTGACAGTAGAAGGCACAGATGAAATAGGGAAACAAACTGTGGGAATGAGACTAATTCCAAATGGGTAGCAGATTTGAATAAAAATGCAGAAGGCTAATATGTAAAATTCTTGACAGCTGAGTTTTCTTGTCAGGTGTCCAGTGCTGTTGATCCAGCTCTACTTCTTAGAAGCAGTGATGGTGCATTTAGGAACAGTAATATTGAGGAGATGTAATATTGTGGTTCCAGCTGGGAGCTACCACTACCATATACCCTCTCTACGGTCCAGTGTATTTTAAAATTAAGTTCACAACTTAGATTAAGCAATAAAATGCAGGGAAAAGAACTAA